TACAATTTGGCCCGTCACAAAACCTCCTGTGATGGGCCTGTCCAGTTGGGGTAAGATGCTTTACAGGGTGAAGCTTAGGGTTGTAGAGTTACAGGGGCAGGTCACTTGCAGGAACAAGGCGTGGCGGCATGAAACCCCCAGCCCCTTAGGCTGGACTACAATTTGGCCCGTCACACAACCTCCTGTGACAGGCCTGTCCAGTTGGGGCAAGATGCTCCCACACGGTGAAGCTTAGGGTTGTAGAGTTTACAGGGCAGGTCACTTGCAGGAACAAGGCGTGGCGGCATGAAACCCCCAGCCCCTTAGGCTGGATTACAATTTGGCCTGTCACACAACCTCCTGTGACAGGCCTGTCCAGTTGGGGCAAGATGCTTCACAGGGTGAAGCTTAGGGTTGTAGAGTTACAGGGCAGGTCACTTGCAGGAACAAGGCGTGGCGGCATGAAACCCCCAGCCCCTTAGGCTGGACTACAATTTGGCACGTCACAAAACCTCCTGTGACAGGCCTGTCCAGTTGGGGCAAGATGCTCCACAGGGTGAAGCTTAGGGTTGTAGAGTTACAGGGCAGGTCACTTCCAGGAACAAGGTGTGGCGGCATGAAACCCCCAGCCCCTTAGGCTGGACTACGATTTGGCCCGTCACAAAACCTCCTGTGACAGGCCTGTCCAGTTGGGGCAAGATGCTCTGGTGAAGCTTAGGGTTGTAGAGTTACAGGGCAGGTCACTTGCAGGAACAAGGCGTGGCGGCGTGAAACCCCCAGCCCCTTACGCTGGACTACAATTTGGCCCGTCACAAAACCTCCTTTGACAGGCCTGTCCAGTTGGGGGCAAGATGCTTCACAAGGTGAGGCTGAGGGGCTGTATAGTTTACAGGGGCAGGTCACTTGCAGGAACAAAGGCGTGGCGGCTGAAAGCCCCAGCCCCCCTAGGCTTGGACTACGAATTTGGCCTGTCACAAAACCTCCTGTGACAGGCCTGTCCAGTTGGGGCAAGATGCTCCACATGGTGAAGCTTAGGGTTGTAGAGTTACAGGGCAGGTCACTTGCAGGAACAAGGCGTGGCGGCATGAAACCCCCAGCCCCTTAGGCTGGACTACGATTTGGCCCGTCACAAAACCTCCTGTGTCAGGCCTGTCCAGTTGGGGCAAGATGCTCCACATGGTGAAGCTTAGGGTTGTAGAGTTACAGGGCAGGTCACTTACAGGACCAAGGTGTGGCGGCATGAAACCCCCAGCCCCTTAGGCTGGACTACAATTTGGCCCATCACAAAACCTCCTGTGACAGGCCTGTCCAGTTGGGGCAAGATGCTTCACAGGGTGAAGCTTAGGGTTGTAGAGTTACAGGGCAGGTCACTTACAGGACCAAGGTGTGGCGGCATGAAACCTCCAGCCCCTTAGGCTGGACTACAATTTGGCCTGTCACAAAACCTGCTGTGACAGGCCTGTCCAGTTGGGGCCAGATGCTTTACAGGGTGAAGCTTAGGGTTGTAGACTTACAGGGCAGGTCACTTGCAGGAACAAGGCGTGGCGGCATGAAACCCCCAGCCCCTTAGGCTGGACTACAATTTGGCCCGTCACACAACCTCCTGTGACAGGCCTGTCCAGTTGGGGCAAGATGCTCCACACGGTGAAGCTTAGGGTTGTAGAGTTACAGGGCAGGTCACTTGCAGGAACAAGGTCACT